GGACAGGAACTTCAGTTAAATAAGGATTTTGGAGGCTTTGTCAGCCACACAGGTGTGATGTAGGTTTTGCCTGGAAGGGTTTAAAAATAACCCAGTTGCTCCTCTGTCTGATTCAGACCAGAAGTACTAACTTTGGTCCCTCACACCACCAGAGACCTTCTTATCCACCAGGCTACCAACCATTTAACACAGCTCCCTCTGTGTTCAGTTTGCTATAAATTATAAGATACTGTTTCAGAGAAGCAGGTCATAACCATGTCCCACCACATGGCTTCATCTTTCCTAACTCTAAGAAACATCTTATAATGACACACAGGGTCTTCAGTTTGCTTGACACATGAATGCAGAGCCATAGGGCTGGTGGTGCAGGAACCTCCGCTGACCCCACCACCAGCACCGGTCCCACCCTGTGGTGCATTAGGCCAGGAAGGGTCACCAGGACTCCAGCACAGTGATGCCTCTGGGTCACACTGTGCCCATGTAGAAGTGAGCCCCAACTGCTCAACGTGCACACATGTGGCTGGCAAATCCCAATCCGTCCTGCCCTCTCAAACCAGGCACTGTCTCAGCTCGGCTGCTGGCTCCTGGGGGGAAGCACCAAGGGCAGAGGGGCTGGTGAACTGCTGAGCTGAGACCAGCTCCCCAGGGAAGCTCCTCGCCTGGAAAGGAGGAAACCCCAGACTGTATCATCTGCAAAGGCTTTCACTCGCTGCCTGGCTAGTCCAGGCTCAGAAATAGTAAGGAAAATGTGTGTGCCCATTTTAATTTGCCTCCTGTGAATTAGGATGTGGCATAAAACATGGAATAGCAAAGAACTCCAGCCCTGAAATGGTAACCGAGGACAAACAGAAATCCTGCAGCTACTCTGAGCCTGACTGCAGAACTTCTTCTGTATGTAAAACCTGTAAAACATGAAGCTTTTACATCTATTGACCTTGAGCTATAAAGGACAATACTTCTTGCATCAGATGCTGCACTGAGAATATTTGAGCCAGTTTTGAACATTTCAGTGAACCTGAAAAGTACACTGTCTCTTTAGAGCACATCTGTAATGCAGCACAAATTCAGGTCTTTCCAATGAAAAATTATTGGCTGGACTGAACGATGAGAGAACCATGATAACATAGTGAGACAGCAATAACTGCCTTTCCTATAAAATATTTTACATTTCCTTATATTTAACATGGGAATGCTTGTAATCCTGTAATTTTTGTGTGTAATATTTTGAGTCCTTCTAGATATTAGAAGGACAAGCCTGAAGAGACACCATCACTTCAGGTACACATAAAAGACCTGGGCAACTTCTTGATGGGCAACTGAGCTTCCTACAAAGTGGCACAAGGATTTTACCTCACCTGGAGCCTGAAGGGTGGGCTCCCCTGGGTGCACAGGGACCTCTTGTCTTTTGGCCTCTGTCAAGTGGGCCAAATGTAAAAAAAAATAAACAGAATAATTATTATAAGACTAAATGAAGATAGGAAATTACAGAGGTATCAATGAAACATAGATGCATAGTAGCTGACAAGTCCTAAACAAAAGAGGGTTTCTTGGCCCAGAAAGAGAAGAGGTTGCGGGCTGAAGGTCTAATCAGTCAGGGCACACCTCCTCCTTAGTGCCTCTACAGTGAGGACCAAGGAACTCCAACTGAAGGCAGTTCCACCCTCAGATGAGTGCTCTTGGTACTGCTTTGGAAAAATTAGGAAACGCATAAAGTATAGCAGAAAGCTAGCAGCTAGTGAGTTGGGAGGGGCAGGGCAGAGAGCTTGTTCTGCCACTTTGTAAATTTTAAAACAGTGAACAACACATTATCTATAAAATATTGGACCAAACTCTGCTTTCATTTACTCTGTAAAACTTCAGTTATTTATATGGATTGGCAATGTTAAACACAAATAGAACTTACACATGTATTTTACATTACATTTCAACTGCAATAAAAGAATTATTCTTTGTATTATAAGAGTACAAAAGGCAGGTTTCCCTGTTTATACACTTGTTTTGACATCTTTTGAAATCTTCTCTCAATCTATTTTTATTGACTACATGTATTAACTGATATTTGTTTTGATACAGATGAACAAGAGAGAATCTGACATCAAATCCATCTCAGTTCAGCTACACAGACCGTGAGATGAGATTTCTGACACATCCATTGACTAGATTGATTGAGTAAACAAACTACATTCCAGTGGCAGACTTTTTATGAAGGAAATTTCCCAATCTGAAATATTCATTAAAAAGGAACCTTCAGATGGGCATACATACAGGGAAAAAACAAAACAAAACAAAAACAAACAAACAAAAACACTTAAGAGAAGAAACAAAGCCCATTTTATATAAAAACACTATGATAGAAGTAAAAATGACAATATTTATCACTATCATCTTAAAACACAAGATATTTTAGGATATACATACAAACAACTCAGATGTTTTCCCCATTCCAAAAAAATCATTATTAATTTTAGCCTGCAAGAAAACTTGCCCACCTAAAGATTTCCTAAAGCCTTGCAACAGTTCTCATCTTCTCAGCTTGATCCTCCAATTATCACGTCAGAATTACTGATCTCAAGAATTTGTGCCATCTAAGCGCAGAACCGACACTTTTCTCTCTGCTTTTGAGCCTTTTCTAAAACAAAGTGCCTTTTTATTTCTGTTCTAACACTAACACTCTCATTTTCAGCTCCCCTTTCAAGTAACTTCTTCCTTTTCACATTTGCCAATGTTTTTCAATTCACTTTCTAAGAAGTTCCTTCTGCTCCCTCTCTAGCCAGGGATCATTCTTTCCTTGTCCACTTGGAAGTTTCACAGAAAGTTGCTTCTTTCCATTCATCTATCTCAGTATAAGAAAGAAAAATATCTCCCCCTCCCTAGTAAAATCTGAACTTTATCTACAATTATCCTGTGCCATGGCAGATACTGAAGCTGCAACTTACTCTCTTTGAAGTCCCAGATAAACCAAAATAATAGCAAACTACATGCCTCTTAACACAAAGTGCAAACCTTAAAATTGCAATGTATGATATAAAAGTCCTGGAACAGTTTAGGTAAAGTAATGTAGTACCCCACAGAGTGAAGCATTTAAAAAAAAACCATGAACAGAACAAAACAAAAAGTAGTTGCTAAGTAACACCAAATGCTGATCTAGAAAATAAAAGCCTAATCCAACTGACATAGCATGCTGACTACTCACCAAATGTCTGATTTTGTGTTATACCCCTGGTGCTTCAGTGCTTCTGGACTCATGTAGTATGGTGTCCCAGTAAATGTAGTTGCCAGATCACATGAACCCATCAAAAGACAAGAAACTCCGAAGTCCCCTAAAAGTAACAGCAGAAAAAAGAATATATTAATATAAATCTATCTCTATTCAAGTAAATTATATGTGTAGTTGTTAGACTTGATATAATGACAGTACATCAAAAAATAAAACAAAACTGACAGTATTTTAAAATATGGGAAAAACTATTTTCTGTAATTCTTAAAAATAAAACCACCAGAAAAACTTAGAATCATAGAATTTTGTAGGTTTGAAGAGGCCTTACAAGATCATTTGACTCAAACTCCTGGCTCAAAGCAAGGTCAACTTGAAAGTTACATGTGGCTGCTCAGGTCTAGGTCTGGGTCCAGGTCCAGCCAAATTTGTAGCACTATGAAGGCTGGAGATTTCACTGCCTCCCCAGGCCCTTGTTCCTGTGTCTGACTGTCAAATAAATGTTTTATAACAAATCAAAATGGTGTATCAGGCATGACTGTATTTAAATCTCCTTATTGTCAAAATGTCTGCTGCATTGTTTTATCATACTAAAATATATCTTTAAAAAGTATGGAAATCTCACCAATTTTAAGAAGATTATTTTTCAAAAATATATTCTTGGCTTTCAAATCTCTGTGAAGTATCCACCTGGAATATAAAAGGAAATTCAACCTCATCCAACTAGAAGCATTCACAGTCACATATCAATTATCTCAAGTATTTATCTTCAACTTGTTAGGAAGACCAGCCCACCATGGCTACAATCTAACCCTATAAGTGGCAATGCACAGAGGGTGGCATCAAGGAGCTTCATATAAACACAGAACTGCATTCACAGACGCCAACATGCAGGATGAGAACCCAAGCAGGCAGGATAAAAATGCACTCAGGGATCCCAGCTTGAGAAAGCAGTCACAGGCTTAACATGAGCTGCAGAGGAAGAAAGGCAAGACTTCCCATCTGGCTCTACTTAAAAGCATTACATGTTATTTTCTGCTAGGAAAATGACGTGTCTAGCAGTAGAGAAAGGGATGAGAAAAACAGCAATAAGAGATTCTCAGAGCTCAGGTAACTCTCCTTCAGAGAAAATGTATTACTTGAAAGGCAAATATGTATATAGACTAGGCTAGTAGTTCAAAATTTCACTGCAATGGTGTGGAAGATAAAAGAACTTTACAAAGACAGAGATCAAAAGGAAAATAAAGAGAACAATTAGCTTTTACAGACTTATTTTTCCATCAAAGACTGAAACAATATCATAGGCCATGAGCACAGCATGTGGGACAAACAGTATCTACTCAAGTTCTTGAAACCCTAATGCATGACACTGATTCTCCAGCCCCTTAGGAAAATGAAATATGCCTGCAGTATACAAAATATGATCTCAATTAATTCTTGTTAATAAAGCTTCCAAAAGGGTTCCCTACAACCTCAACTAAACTTGCACTCATTCACTTCAAAATAGCCAAATAAAACACAGTATTAGTTATCAGCTCTGCTCAGGAGGAGCAGACAAGCAGTTGTACAGACTGGCTACAGAAACTGCAGCTGCTAATACAAATCCTTTAGTCACTCAGCCATTTAGAACAGGTAAAGAAAGACATTCTAAGATTCTTGAGATGTAGGCAAGTAAAGCAAATATCATTTTAGGTTTTAATTTTTCTTGAGCAATTCTCAAGGATTATCTGAAATGTCACTGAATTATTAAAATCTTATGCATTGAGATACTGAAATGATTGCCAAAATAGTTTTCATATTAAGACTAGAAATTACATGCTGCATTATATGCATTACCAATAGCCATAAGAGGCTTTTATATATTAATATGACTAAGAAACACTTGGGGTGATTATTTGCAACCCCCTATTACGATATCTCTCAATGCATGCCACCTCGTTTTGCCAAGATAAGGCAGAAGATAAACAAGTTATAGGCTGAAACCTTAAATGAAAAAAATACTTTTATTCTAGTAAGAAATAAATATTGAGTCTGCACTGTAAATCCAGTTTAAG